TGCAGGAAGGAGAATGGTCTGCAGGAAGTGAACCAAAGGCCCGGAGATGGGGAGAAAACATAAAAAACCAGAGGACCCGAGCAGAAGGCCCCTGGCGCAACTAACAGGAGCTCCACAGAGAGAAAAGGAAGGGGAGGAAACGACGAAGGAATGGTCACTTCCCCAAGCTAAAGGACTGGGCTCTTCATTAACACCTGTCCAGCGGACTTTCGGTCCCCAGAGCTTCCAGAGGGCGGGAAGGGAATGAAGCTCTGACAGCCACCCGCTGCCGGCACCTGAGGCTGATGGACCAAAGCTGCTCACCGCCCCACCCAGAGTCCATGACCCACCACCCATCCTTCTCTTCCACACAGGTCCGGTGAGTGCCCAGCCTCTATCAGACCCTGAAAAGAATAAAGCCCTGCCCTCCTGGGGCTTTACCATCTAGCAGGGGGTGGGGGGCAGGGAATAAACTAAGAACAGAGCTCTACACTCTACTATCCCTTAGGGACAAAGAAAAGTTAGGGGGGATAAGGGGCTGAAGAGTGAGGAGGGTTGTGGAGGAGGCCAAGTGGGTAACTCCATGGAGAGGGAACTGCACATGCAAAGGCCCTGAGGCGGGAGGGGTTATAGACTGAAGGTACTAGCAAAAGATATTTTCAGACAGGCCAGCTCAGAAAGTTTGCTTACCATACTGTTTTCTAGGAAGCCACCTGAAGACATGCAACAGGGAGAAGATGACATGGGATCTGGAAAACAGTGGCTCCAAACTAGAATAGTGAAGGGTGGGCAATGGGCAGTGGGACTGCCCAGCGGGCCAGGAGCAGGAGAGCAAGGCCCTGGCAGGGAACATGGGGGGAATGACTTGACTGCTGGAGAATGTAAGGATGTGATAAAGGCAGACAATGTGGGGACAATAAGGCAAACAAACTCCAGGAAAAACAAAAGCCGTCCTAAGATAATGCATTCCCCGCTCACTGCTTAGCCATGCTGAGGTTCATATTTACATACAGTCCTGAGAGACGCTCTTGACTGAACCAGCCTACAGACAAGCAGGAAAGCACGGTCACTGCTCCAGGACAGGACCTGAGTGTCACTGGCCTTGACTACATGTTAGGCTCAGCTCCTTGCAAGAGTTGTCTGTGCTGACTGTCTCCACCTCTGCTCCTCCCATGAAACTCCCCTTCAGGTCTTCCTCGCCTCCAAATAACCCTGTTCTTCTCAACGTCCACGATGACCGGAGCTGCCAAGGCCAGCGGTCCAGTCTTGAGCCTTGCCTGACCTCAGCAACATGTGCCATGCTGACCCCTCTCTTCCTCCCAAAGCCCTCACCCATCTCAGTGCTCTTCCTGCCTCATGGCTGCCCCATCTCCTCCGAGGGTCCCTCATCTCCCTGCCCTCTCAGGGCCCATCTCTTCTCTGTTCACACTCAGGCCACAAGGCTCTCTCTCCAGCCCCTTTTCCAGGTCTCTCTGTCCCGTTGGCCCCTGGACCTCTCTGCTCAGGCATCGAGGGCACACCTGAAGCCTAGCATGGCCAGCGCTGACCGTCCTTCCCCTTCTCCCCAACTCTACTCCCCCCTTCTCTCAAAACCCACCTGCAAATGGCAAATTCCACACTCTTCTGGCTCTCCTTTCAAACACAACCAAACCCACCTGCTTCTCACGCTGCCACTGCCGCCATCACCCAGCCCGGCCTCTCCTCTTCAGCTCTGATGACAGCATCACCTCCTCACAGGCCCCGATTCTGTCCTTGCCATTTTCAGTTATCACCCAGAAGCGCCCTGTCCAGATGTCAAACCGCACCCCTGCTTGCTCAATCTCCCCAAGGCTCCCCAAGAGGCCCCTCCATCACACTGTCCCCACTCCCTCCTGATCCCCTCCTGACCCCCTGCAGCTGTGATACCACTAGCCTGACAGACCAGGCACAGCAGCCTCCTGGCCCCTCTGCCCGTGGCTCCACACCCCATCTGCCCAGCTTCTTCCTCCCAAAGGGCACCTCCCCTGAGCAGCTTTCTATGAGAAGCGCTGATTGCTGTATCCATATTTTATAGGAACAGAAACTCCAATTTGCGCCAGGGTTTATGGCTGCCCACAAAATACAGGATGCCCAGTTAAATTTAAGTGTTGGATAAACAACAAATAACTTTTAGTACAAATATGTTCCAAATACTGCATGGCACATAACTTATACCAAAGGACTTGTACTTTTTATACGAAAAAGTATTTGTTGGTCCTGCATCTCTACCTGGCAACCTCAGCTGAGAGCCCAGGCTACACCTCTGCCTCCTTTGCAACCAAGAATATCCACGTGACTGAGGTCAACCAACAGGACGTGGCCTGTCTGGGCTGCCCTACAGGGAAGGCACCTGCCTCTGCCACCCCTCTGCTCCTTTCTGGGGGCCCCAGGACAGAAGGATACTGGTCCCTGCCATTGCACCCCACTCATACCCAGGCTCAAGGGCCAGCCTAGGCTGGCCGTGGCTTCAGCGCCCCTGTCTCCTTCTGGCTTGCGTTAGAGCTCAGGGGCATCATCACCACCAGACTCTCGCTCGACCTCCCTCCACAGCCAAGGTGGGACTCTGGTTTGTTCACTTGGTCCTGACACCTAGATTGGCACCTGCATGTCAGAGGCTTCTGGACAGAAAAGCACTGACAACAGGACAGGTCAAGGGCTGGAGGCCAGTGGGGTGGGGGCAGGGCAGGGCAGGTCCTGCTGAGCTCACGGCAGGAGTGAGGGTCTGAGTAGACACGTGTGCACATGTGGCACAAAGACAGGCAATGACGAGGTGACAGCCGGGGGGCAGGGACTGAGGAGCTAAAGCTCACTATCCTCTCGGGCAGTGAACCAGGAATGCCCAGCTCTCCCATCCTAGGCAGCAGCACAGGGGGTCATGTTGTGCAGAGGTGGCCACTACCAGGAAACTAAAGCTCCAGAGAGACCACGTGTCCCACAGCAGTCACTATGCTCTGCTGTGCTCCCGGGTGCTCCTACTCTGCTCCAGGGTGTTTCAAAGCATTGCTGTGACAGTAAAAAACATTGACAAAATGACTGGAGGGAGGGAGGGAGAACTCGCTTCACCTGGAGGCCTCCCACCTGGCACTGTGCACACAGGCGTGTGGATGTGAGTGTGAGCCTGTTGGCCATGGGTGTGACACCTGTGTTCAGGCCGAGATCTCTAGCCAGGAGTCCCCAGTGTCCAGGAGCCAGGCTGGGGGCTGCAGGAGGGGACCCAGCAGGAAGGGTGGAAGCTGTGGGGAAGGCCCCAGCCCTCCCTTCCTGGAGGAGCTTCCCCTCGCTGCCCAGTTACCCTCCCTCTCCTGCAGCCTCAGGCTCCTTGACCACCAGCTGGGCCTCCTGGGAGTCCCTGACAACACCTGTCCCCACTGCGGTCCATAGGAGTCTTGTGAGGCTCACTGCTGGGACAGCTGCTCCCGGGGACCAGGCCAGAGTCTAGACTCCTCTGGCTTCAAAACGAGGGCAGGTAGGCAGGAGAGCAGGTCCCTCAAAGGTGGACTCGCTGTGACCACACGTTGTGTCTGGGTACAAGGCCACACGTGGCCAGACATGCGTCTCTACTCAGCACTGCTGCTGGTGTGGGACAGGCGCCAAGAGGGACTCAGCTCACATGGAACAGCTGGGGAAACGAGGCTCAGAGAGGGGCCCAACCAAGGACTTCAGGGTGGCACACAGGTGGGCTCTGGGGGCCAGAGCACAGAGACAGGACACAGGCACGCTGGGCCAGGTGTTTATTGATGAGAGAACAGCACCGGCTGAGGGTCCTCAGCGCCCAGCCGGCCAGCAGGCACACAGGGCCCGGCGCTCGGCCTGCAGCAGGAGGGTCTCCGTCTGCAAAGCAACAAGGGGCCATGAGGGCGCTGCACAGCTGCCCCCGCTCACAGCTCCCGAGGGCCATCTCCTGGCTTCCCCCCAAACCCACTGGCAGTCCTGTCTCCGCCTGCTCCTGAGACTCTCCGAGTGAGCACCTGACTCTGTCATGACCCCCCCACTTTGAATGCAGGTGACTCTGCTGCCCTCAGGGCCTCGTCTCCCCTACTCCTTCCCACCCTCCACTCCCTCAGCGGTTCTGAGCCAAGGAGCCCGGCCATCACCCTCCGGGCCAAGGGGCTCACCCGCGCGTCCAGGCTGTAGGCCGTCTTCCGCAGGTCCTGCAGGGCGCGCTGCATGAACTCGAAGGCGTGGCAGTCCACGCACGGGCGGCCTGCGGGGGCGTGGGTCAGGGCGGAGTGGGTGCGCCCCAGCCCAGTCCCGCCCAAGCAGCGGCCTCTGCCGGCCCCCACCTCCACCTAGGGGCGGCCTCGAGCCGGGAGGCGGGCGGGGCGCAGGGACCGCCCCTGGGAACAAAGACCGGGCGCGGTCCTCCCGCGCGCCCCCTCCCGCGCGCCCCCGGCGGGGGTCAGGACCTCGCGGGGACCCCCCACCCGCACGGCACGTACTCTGCGCGGGGACTGCGCTCCCGGCGGCGGGCTCGGGGCGGACCTGGGCGCCCAGCAGCGCGAAGCTCAGTAGTAGCAGCAGCAGCCGCGGCGCCGACGTCGGGGGCCTGCACGGCGGCGGGGGGGCCATGGCCGAGCCGAGGGAGCCCGGGGCCGCCCTGCAGCGGGCGAGAGGGGTCAGAAGCACCGGCCCCTGCACCCTCCTCCGTGCCCCCCACTCCGCCCCCCGCGCCCGGCAAACCCTCACTCCGCTCCCGGCCCCACCCCCTCGATCCCCCGGGCCCGCGAGCCCCCCAACCCCGGGGCCCACCCCCTGGCCCCTCGGGCCCACGAACCCCCACCCCATCCCCGATGCCGACCCCTCGGGCCCAAGATCTTCTACCCGGCCCCGCGCCCAGCAAGCCCCGACCCCGGGCCCGCGAGCCCCCACTGGCCCTTACCGCGGTTCAGGGACCCCGCGACAGCAGGGCGGGCGACTCGGGAAGACTTGCTGCGTCCGGCGCGCACCGCGCATGCGCACCGACCCGACCCCGCCCGGGTCCCCCATCTGACGTCGTCGTCATGGAAACTCCGAGACTGCGCGAGCCGCTAGTTTAAAGGGACCAAGGTGGCTCCAGGATTCCGCGTGCCCAGCCCTGGCGGCCTCCGGGGATGGAGGCGTCCACAGGTGATGGAGTCAAGAGGGCTGCCTGGAGGAAGCGGTGTCTGGGAGGAACCTCCAAAGCCACCGTCGGCGGGGGCAGAGCTGAGGAAGCGGGAAATCTGCTGCTGGAGCTTGGCTGTCCGCGGACTGGGGCGTCCCTGGGGCCAATCCTGAGGGAGGGGCTCGACGCACGCGAGGGGCTGGGGGGGCGGACAGTGAAGGCAAATGCTCGGCCTCTGCTTCCCCCGGGCCGGTGAGGTCCACTCGCGTCTGATGTCCCCGGAGAGATTCGGGCCAGGAGTGACCCAGGCCCGTAGGCCGGTGGGACATCCACCCTCTCCGGTCCTCACTGCGGCCCGGCCTCGCCCCGGAGCCTCGGACGAGAGGGCCAGGGGGAAGCCTGCCGACCTTCCCGGTCCCCGCCCCCCCCCCCGGGTAATCTCAGAGGGGTCGCGTGCCTCTCTGTGCCCTTCTCCTCCCCCGTGAATGCACAGGGGGGTGGGAAGTAAGGAGCCTCGTGTGGCGCCCGACGCGCGCGTTTTCGGGTCCCCGTCGAGCCCTCTGGGTGGGATGGCGTCCACAGGCGCGGCCCGCGTCCGGCCGCGTGAGCGCCGGAGCCCCCCAGCAGCCCCGGCAGCAGCGCCGGCCCCTTTCCTGGTAGGCGGCGCCGAGCCTAGAGGTCCTCTGCCCCCACCCCCGGGCCTTGGGTCAGTTGTCGTCCTGGCACGCGATGGGGACGTCGGCGGCCCTGGCCGGACGCGGGCTTCCTGACCCAGGGGAAGGGCAGTGCTCGTGGCCGCCGTTGCCTCCCCCTCCCCGGGCCGAGCGCCCAGGCTCGGGCTCTCCCGGACAGGGTCGCGCTGCAGCCCCGGGGCTGGAGACTGCGGGCAGCCTTCCTCCTCCATCCGGAGTCCCTCTCCCGGGTCTCGCGGTCATCGCCACCGGGTGGGACGCGCTCCTCGAGGACGCCATTCGGCACAGGTTTTCCTCTAGGGAGCTAGCCTACCCCAGAAGCAAGGCTCGGGCTAGACCTCGGGCGGCGGTGCTGCGGAACCGCGCTTTTCCTGGCACCGCGGCAGACTCGTCAAGCGCGTCCTGTTTAACAGGGAGGGGTCGCTGGTCCGCTGCGGCCCCAGTGTCCGCGTAGCACCTGGCTCGCGCCCTTTCGGCACCCTGGGTCCGTCCTCGCGCACCTTCTCCAGCTCTCCCCGCACCCTGGGATCCTCTCCTTCAGGCTCATTTCACCCCATGGTCCAGCCTAACTATCCGTGCCGGGCACACACGTCGACACCCTGGCCGCATCCTCACCGTGACCGTGCGCCCCTACCCAGGGGACCGCGCGGCCCCTAAGGGGCCGCAGGATGTCGGGGGCGGAGCCTCGAGCGGCCCTCGGGGCTGCGGGGTCCTGAGTGCGGGGGTGGCACGTGCTCCTGCTCCACCGCCGGCGCCCCAGCGCTGGTGTCCCGTCGCCCCAGCCGGCCTCCTCCTTCGCCTCTCCAAGGGCACCGGAATCTCCTCCACTGGGCCTTTCCCTTCCTGTGATTTCTTCTGTAGCCAAACAAAACAAACCTCCTGAGTCGCTCGCCTCCCCCCACTAAGGCCTCTCCTGGCTGTCCAGTTTCTCCTCCTTTCTCTCTTAGCCCACTCCTGTCCGGCCTGCGTCCGCGCGCTGCTCCGACCCATCTGCAGAATCCAAGGACCAGTCTTCAGCCCTCACCAGGTGGCCATCAGCGGCCCGTGGTCCCCTCCCCTCTGCGCTCCATCTTTGCCTCCCTCCTCCGGGGGCTGCTGGGCAGTCCTTTGCCCCCCATCTCTTCATATCCTCACCCCAAGGCCGTGTCCTTGGGCCTTTTCTTCACCTACACCCTGTCCTTTGTGACTGAATCCAGTCGTGGCTGCAAAACCAGCCATGTGGTTCCCACGTCCAGCTGCCCCCTGGACGTCTCCACCTGGAGAAGAGACTTCTCAACGTGAGCTGGCCGGAAACCCATCTGCTTTCACCCTCCTTCTGCTCACCAGCTCTCTCCACAGCCTTCCCCATCCCAGGTGAGGGCAGTGCATCCTTGCATCTTAGACCAAACCTACTACAGTCCTTCTAGAAATGCTGTCCTGCCCACGCTCAGAGCCACCAGACTCCGTCTCTCCTCCCCGTGCCCTGCTAACCCTGGTCCACACTGCCCCTCACCTGGACTCTTGAGTCACATGGCTGTCTCCCTGTTGTCCGCCCCCTTGTGGTCCAGTCTCCATAAGACAACCAGAAGGACCTTTCCTTATAACTTCTTTTTATTGTGGTAAAATAAACATGACATAAAATATACCATTTTAACCACTTTTAGTGCAATTCAGTGGCATTAGGGATATTCACATGGTTGTGCAGCATCACCACCACCCATCTCCACAATTTTTCATTTCCCCAGAGAATCTGTGTCCTCAGCAAATTGACTCCCCATCCCCTCCCCCAGAGCCTGGCACCCACCATTCTACTTCCTGTCTCTAGGAATTTGACTCACTCCTGCATTCATCTTCCCAGAAGGGGGAACCAAGGTGGGGAGGTTGAGTCCATGGGAGTCACTGATGGACACAGGATGTGAGAGAAAGGGAGGAGGCAAAGATGGCGTCAAGTTTCAACTGTGAGTGAGATCATAAAGTACTTGTCCTTTTGTGTCTGGCTCATTTCACTTAGCATGATGTCCTCAAGCTTCAACAATATTGTAACCTGTGTCAGAATTTCCTTCCTTTTTAAGGCTGAATAACATTCCATTGTGTAGATGGAGCACGTTTTGCTTCTCCACTCATCTGTAGGTGGACACTTGGGTTGCCTCCATGTTTTAACTATTGGGAATAGTGGTGCTATGACAGGGGTACCTTTTAAATCATCATCAGATGTCCCCTCTCTGCTCACAGCCCTTCACAGATTCCCATCTCACCCCAGTGACAGTGCAAGCCCTGATGTGGCTGGGAGGCCATCTACTTGCTGACCTCCCCTCCCACCCCTCCCCTGCCCGTGCCATGCAGCCACACCTCCTTCTTGCCAGGCCAGGGACCCTCTGGCTGCTCCTGCCCAGGCAGGCTTCCCTTCGAGCTGGGCCTGCCTGTTTCCACAGACGGCTGCAGGCTTCTTCCTCCCTCTCTCAAGGCTTTGGTCACGTCCTTCCTCCTGAGTGAGAGCTGGCCTGCACACCCCTGCAATACAGCTGACAGCCCACCCCAGCTGTCTCAGTCCCTGGGGCTGCTATAACAAAATGCCACAGACCAGAGGCTTAAACAGCAGACACTTATTTTCTCACAGCACCGGAGGCTGGAAGGCCAAGATCAAGGTCCCAGCCAGTTTGATTTCGGGTAGAGGACTCTCTTTCTGGCTTCCAGACAGCAGCCTTCTCACCCTGTCCTCACACGGCCTTTTCTCAGTGCGTGCACACGGAGCAGGGCAGAGTCCTCTGGTGTCTCTCTCTCTCTTTTTTTTTAAATTCAATTTATTTAAAACAAAAACAAACATAATTCACCCATTTCTCCCACCTCCCACCCCCCGTCTCTGGTAACCACCAATCTGTTCTATCTATGAGCTGGATTTTCTTTTTTAAGATTCCACATATAAAAGAGATCTTATAGTATTTGTCTTTCTTTGTCTGACATTTCGCTTAGCATAATGGCTTCGAGGTCCATCCGTGTTGTCGCAAATGCCAAGATTTCATTCTTTTTTATGGCAGAATAATATTCCATTGTGTATATATATCACATTTCTTTATCCATTGATCCATCAATTGCTGCCATATCTTTGCTGTTGTAAATAATGCTGCAGTGAACATAGGCGTGCACATATCTCTTTGAATTAGTGTTTTAATTTCCTTCAGATAAACACCAAGAAGTGGGACTGCAGGATCATATGGTAAGTCTATTTTTCATTTTTTGAGGAACCTCCTTACTGTTTTCCATAGTGGCCAGGACAATTTATGTTCTCATCACCAGCGCACAGGGTTCCCTTTTCTCCTCGTTCTTGCCATCACTTGTTAATTTTTGTCTTTTTGATGATGGCCGTTCTAACAGGTGTAAGGTGGTAGCCCATTGTGTCTTCTTATAAGGACACCAATCCTACGGGATTTAGGGCCCACCCCATGACTTCATTTAACTTTATTTTCTTCCTTAGAGACCCCATCTCCAAATACAGCCACACTGGGCGTTAGAGCTTCAACATGTGGATTTGGGGCACATTTCAGCCAGAGTACCCTCCCCATCCTCCCCAGCCCCCCTTACCCTGCCCTACATTTTCATTTTCCTTGCATTTCTCACCTTTGACTCATTACATACTTTGTTAAATATGTTGAGCGTTCGTTATATCCAGAGATCTCGGAGTGGGGGGCAGTTTTGCTCTCAGGGATATTTGGCAATATCTGGAGACATTTTGGGTTGTCATGGCACGGGGGAGAGGCACTCCTGATCTACTTGGTAGAGGTCAAGGGTGCTACCAAATGTCGCATAGTGTGCAGGACGCCCCTGGAAGAGTGACCCGGCCGACGTCGTCAGTGGTGTTACAGCTGGGAAGCCCTGGTCTGTGTCTTCTCGCTGGACTGCCAGGCCCTCGAGGGCTGCAGCTTGTGTCTCTTGCTCCCTCCTGGGTCTGCAGCATCTAGCACCTCAACAGGCATTCAGAAGATGCACATGAAGTGTGACTGTGTGAGTGCCAGGGGCCCCAGTGAGCAGGAAACAGGCCTGGGTGGGCACAGAGAGGTGCTGGCCACACGGTTTAGGCCTGGGGAGGAGCTGCTTTCACCAGGGCTTGGACAAGATGGGACAAGGCGGGCACATGATGAGGAGGCCACTGCAGCCAGCAGGACGTTGGAGGCCAGTGGTAGGAGAAACAGTGCTCTAAGTGATACTAGGAAGCTCTGGAAATGAATCCGTCTGACGCCCCCCACCCCAATACCCAGAACCCTCAGCCCCTCCACACTCTTCGGCTGCCACCACTGTGGGACCCAGGTGTGGGTCTGGGGACATCTGAACACTGCTCTCAGGGACCTTGAAGAGGCCAGGTCAGCTGCCTCACACTTGCCTTGGGCTCTGCCTAATACAGTATCTCAGGGACCTTCTTCTCCTTCCAGAGCAGATGCACCCACGGGCCCACCACACCCAACTCTCAGCACTCAGGATGCCCTCTCCCCAGCTAACCCTCCTTCACCCCTGCATTCACCTTCTCAGAAGGCAGGACCAAGGTGGGGAGGTGAAGTCCATGAGAGTCACTGATGGACGCAGGATGTGAGAGAAAGACAGGAGGCAAAATGGCATCAAGTTTGGTCTGGTGGAGAAGAGGAGGCATGGGCTCCAAGGGTGGGGATCAGAGTTTGCTCTTCGTCATGACAGGTTAACTCAGCTGAGGCTTCAATATTGGAGCGGGGCTGGGAGAAGAGAAGAGAGAGCCAAGGCTTTCTGGCCCCAAAGGTTAGCTGGTTAATCTCTAGAGTCTGATGCACACACCACACATTAAGCAGGGAAGGGAGACCAAAGTAAACACAGCCCTCCTCTTTCTTGCCTGTAGGGCTGGGAGTTAGCTGTCTTGATATTGAGGGGGAAAGGAAGAGAAAACCCACCTGTGAGAGGCTATAATGTGAGTTCTTGATCCAGCATGGAATTGCAACTAAAATTTCTACCACTGAATGTGCCTAGAAAATACAACAAAGTTATTTAAAAATGGCTCTGGACTATCAGTGCTCATGGAAACTGGCAGAAGTAAGTCCAAATCATCCCTAGGTGAAGGCGTCTTCCTCTTAGGCCTTGGAAAACCCAGCAAACACCTTTTCAAGGGCAATGAGTAGTACATAGTTAAAGCACAAGGGAACAAAGCACCATGAATGGGAAAAAGAAATTGACCACAAGTGATCAGAAACACAAAAATTACCAGACACAGGCCTTAAAGTAACCATACATAATATATTGTATAAAAAGAAAACCTTGAAAATATCAAGAAATAGAGAACAGAAAAGAAGAAAAAGTGACAGGGAAAGTTTGAAAAAGAGCCAGATAGGAATTCTAGAGCTTAAAAATACAATCCCAAAAACCAAGTTAACAGGCTTGACTGCATATTGAACCCAGCTGAAAAGAGTATTACTGAACTGGAAGGTAGATCAATCAAATGTCCAGAATTAAGAACAAACAGGTTGGTGGATTCTGGGAAGATGGCAGAATAGGCAGCACCAGGGATCTGTCTTCCACCTGGACAACAGTTGCAGGGACAGAATCTGTCTAACAAGGGTAAATTTTGGTCGATTTCAGCTCTTAGCACAGTAGCAGCTACCCATCCCCACCCCCAGCCATGCAGCAGGCTGCTGTGCACATGTTCCTGGAGCAGCTTGCACACAGCTTATGGGAACCCAGGTGGGCAAAGAGGACTCTGTCCTCCAAATATCAGGGATCTGTGCTCTGATGGCTGCTTCTGACAAGAGGTGCAGATGAGGAGGAAGGCTGCCATTGTCGTTGCACCTCGCCCATTGTCGCAAGCCCCTTCCTCTCCACTGAAGTGACTTCCAGGGGACTTAAAGGGCTGGCACCCTTCTTCTTCCCCACTTCCACCTCCCACTTCACTTCACTTTCCTCTTTTTTCCCCTTTTGAGAGCCAGATATTAAAGAACAGGACATTCAAAAACAACTGCATAGGGGCTGGCCCCGTGGCCGAGTGGTTAAGTTCACGCACTCCACTGTGGCAGCCTAGGATTTCACTGGTTCAGATCCTGGGCACAGACATGGCACCACTCATCAGACCACATTGAGGTGGCATCACACATGCCACAACTAGAAGGACCCACAACTAAAATATACAACTATGGACTGGGAGGATTTGGGGAGAAAAAGCAGAAAGGAAAAAAATAGATTGGCCACAGTTGTTAGCTCAGGTGCCAATCTTTAAAAAAAAAAAAACTGCATATATGAGAAAAATTAGTGACTGTGCATGCCCAGGGAGAGGCTCAGAAAAGACATGAGAAGACCTTAAGTTTACACCTTGGCACAGAGACAGGCTACAACAATGAAAAAAAGAACAATAATAAAAAAAAAATAACACAAAACAACAAACCCTGCGTAAGGCAGAACATTCCATTTCCAGAGATGCCACATTATTAGATTCAAATGTCTGTGTTTAACAAAAAAAAAATCACAAGGCATACAAAGAAAGAGGAAGTATGGACAATTCAAAGGGGGAAAAAATCAACAGAAACTGTCCCTGAAAAAAAGACCTAATGGCAGAGCTACTAGACAAAGACTTTAAAACAACCATCTTAAAGATGCTCAAGAACTAAAGGAAGATGTGGAGAAAGTCAAGAAAACTATGAAAAAAAATGGAAATATGACCAAAGAAACAGAAAATATATATATAAGAAAAAGAAATTCCAGAGATGAAAAGTGAAATAACTGAAATTTAAAATTCACTAGAGGGATTCAAAGGCAGATTTGTGCATGCAGAAGAAAGTATCAGTGAACTTGAAGAGAAGAAAGGAATTATTGAGTCTGAGTAGCAGAAGAAAAAAGATTGAAGAAAAGTGAACAGAGCTTAAAGGACCTGTGGGACACCATCAAGTGGACCAACATATGCATTGTAGGAATCCCAGAAGAAGGAAAGAGAGCAAGGGGCAGAGAGAATATTTG